ATTGAAAAAAAATGCAATTTTTTTCCTCCTTAATTGAGAAACATTATTTTTTTATTTTATTATGTTGGTAGACTGTTTGGATATCTATTAAAATATAAGAAAAAAATTTTATTTGCCAGATATGTCTGTTTGGATGCGTTGCAATAAATTCTAAATGCGTATTTTTTTTTATTTTTCTCATTACATAAAAACGTTTTGACCAATGATCTCGATAGAGCAGTCGAATATAGCAGAAAAATAACTCGAAATATGAAAATTTAATGAAATCGGCTCAAACCCAATATACACAATTTCATAATTTAATTATATTGATTCCTCTCTCTCTAGATCTGTAGATTATTCCTATAGATATAAGAGACAAACAGAATGGGAAGAACTCCAGAAAACCTAAAAAAGCTCTAAAAAAGCAGGTGCACGGAGAAGTTCAATATTATTATTATTATTAGAGAGAGTGTAACTTGATGGATGGGCAAAAAGGTGAGACATCCTTTACAAACTTTCCTCTGTAAATGTTTTGAGGTTGTAAAACATCTCCCTCTGTATACTCAGAAAACCACTCCATTAAATTTACATGGAGAAATTCTATTTTATAAAGAAAAACTCCACTCTCAAGACCTGAAGAATCATAGTTCCTAGAGATATCGAGTAAAACCCTAAATTTTTAGAGAGAGAAACATGGAAAGGTTCTTTTTTTAGAGAGAGAAAGTCGAACTTACTAAAAAATGGGATCTGCATAGTTGAAGATGAGAGAAGGAAAGAAAACCACTCCATTAACTTTAGATAGAGAAACTCTATGTTACAGAGAAAAATTCCACTCTCAAGTTCTGAAAAATCATAGTTACTAGAGATATCGAGTAAAATCCTAAATTTTTAGAGAGAGAAAGATGGAAATGGTCATTTTTAGAGAGAGAAAAAGTCGAATGAGACCTGCATAAGAGTGGGAGAGAGGCTTTTGTAAGTGCGACTCAGAGCGGAAAGGTTTGGGGGAAAGGCGCAAAGAGGAAAGCGAAAAAAATCTGCATAGTTGAAAATGAGAGAAGGAAAGAGGAAAAAAATCTGCATAGTTGAAGATGAGAGAAGGAAAGAGCTCCAAGATCAGAGAGGCTTTTGTAAGTGAGATTTAGAGGGCGAAAAAATTTGAGTCTAACCTGTTTTGTTGGGGAATAAAATCTAATGGGTTATCAAAATGCTTCTTATATGCTATCTCAATCTTTTTTTTCTTGTCATTGGAAAATATTGCAATTTTGGATGCATCCAAACTGACCATAAACCTTTTATTTGTAAAAACTAAATGGAAAAAATGTCTCCATATACCCTATTTTGGTGTACCATTTCGAATAGACCCGAGGTTTTAAAAACTTTCTGACGGTATAGGTTTTCTAAAAAATATATCTTCTAACTCTCTAGACCTAATTATCCTTTTTGACTACTTGTTTTTTGCCCAAACAAAAATTAAAAAGATACCTCGATATGTCTACTCAACATTTCTCTCTATAAGTCTTTATTTCTCTCTCTATGTAGGAGAGAGTGTATACAGAGAGAGGCATTATGGAGAGAGAGAGAAATAACTATGGATAGTGAGAGGTTTTATAGACAGATTGCGGTGTTGTTTTAGTTTTTGTTTGGGTAAAAAAGTGAATAATCAAAAGGGGTAAATTAGGATCAGGGGTTATAAGATATATCTTTTAGAAAACTATATGCCACCAAAAAGTTTTTAAAACCCTAGGTCTATAAAGAAATAGTACACCAAAATATAGCAAAACTATATGCCACCAGAAAGTTTTTAAAACCGGTCTTTAAAGAAATAGTACACCAAAATATGGCATACGATAATATTTTTCAAAAGTAAACAGATTTAATAGAACTTAAAACAAAACATAACAAGTTACAATGTTAATAGATAAATAAATAAGCCTCCCCCTTACAATTTTGTATAGAATGAGTAAGATAAGGTCAAGTATTTCAATGTATAAGACAAACGTATAAGAAGAAAAATAATGATATCAAAATTTGAGATAAAGACAAGCAATGGATAAAACAAAATTTTATAAAATTTAAATAATATTAAATACAAGACGGCAAGTTCTACAATATTACAAAGTACTAAAAAATCATTTATACAAACAAAAAATTCTAGGAGTGCTATAAAATTTAGTGTTAAAAGTTGAGACATGGACAAGTTTTATACTTTTTAAAAAAAAAGTACTAAAATCATTAATTTCTATCAAGTAAAAGTACAATACTTTCTATGGAAAAGGTCCAAGCTCTCAAAATTAGTAATAAGAAATTGCTACAAAAAGAAAAGGTACAACATAATCCATGTTTTTAATAGCAAAGAAAAATTAAGAAAAACTAAAAAACTTACATAGCACAAGGTAAATGAGAAAGGAAGGGAGGACAGTTACGAAACTGAGATAAATATCCGATAGTCAATAGCTTAGAGAGGGAGAACGCATTGGTCGATTTGATTTGGAGAGAGAGAAGAGAGTGGTCTACGATTTGGAGAGAAAGAAACAAGTTGGGAATGGAAAAACCTCATAAAGTATTTTTTATTTATAAAAACATTGACTAATGGAAGCCCTAATTAACAAGTAGAGATATTTGTTATTTTTCATTTTAAAGTACTTATCTTATTCTAAAATATTGTTTACTTTTAAAATAAAATACTCTTCATTGAAGAATAGAGTGTTATATTTTTTTATTATTACGCAAATAGTGTATTGGTAAAAGCTTATAGGTCTCTTCAAGAGATTTTATTTGTCAAAAAAATAAATAAAAAAGAAAAGTCTCGGAGACACGGTAGTGGAGACTTAATAGAGATTTTGTATACATGTCCAAAAGTATCGATACACATGTCGATATCCATCAGGTGTTGACACACGGTCTAACCCCAAACACACGTGTCTATGTTTAGCCATTTGAACATAGGAATAGGTTCGATTGAAGTTTTCTATGAGCTTTAATAGCTAGTGACCATTAGTTGCAAGGAAACGTTTAAGGCATTTGTTACTTAAATTTTAAGTTCGATGGCTAGGGTTAGGGTGTCTAGGGCTCGGAAGATAAATCATGAATTTGGTTAAAATCTAAGAAACCTCTCCCTATTTCTCCCCATTTGTTATCCTGAAATGGCCCTATTTATAGTGGAAAAATGCGATGCCATCCAGACAAAATTATCAGAACCATGTATGTTATGTTTGGCCTCAACGGGCTGGTTACACACGATTTTTTTCTCTCTCTAAAACTCTCTCCATTTCCTTTCTCTCTCTATAATGGCACGGTGGCCTTTATCTCTACAACACTTGTTTCATTACAACTTACATTCAGCACGTATCATAAAATATTGCATGTCACTTAAATCTCAAATGAATCAAGAATACACACTTCTATGTTCTATTGTTTAAAAGAATGGGATTCTCCAAGGATTTTTATTTCATGTTTACAGTCATTCTGAATATGGCTTATAATTTGCCTCCTTTTGAAATTTACCAGCATGGCCAACGAAATCCCCCATTATTTTGGTTTTTTTTTAGTTCGATAGGAACTGAACTTGAAATATAGTGCTGCCAAACGTCAGCGGCTAATTACTCGAACCCGACCCCAGTTCTACATGAGAAACGTTTATATGGAGCCGAGGCTCTAAACAATCAAATTTCATCCTACCTCAAAAAGTCAAATATCTTCAAAGTGATCATCTCCACATCAATATGCATGGATATGAGGAAAACAAATGGATTTCAAGTTTTAAAAATAGTATATTTTGTAATATATTTTTAGACTACCAATTTTCAAGATTTTCAAGTTTTCATAGATATATCGACCCACAATATTTTTAAAGCTTTGAACTTTATAAATAAATATGAAAATATATTTTAAGGCTATCACAAAGATTTCTAGTAGCGTAACCACATTTCTCGACAGTAGGCTCTAATTTGATTGTTTAGAGCCTTGGCTCTATAGAAACCGCACTCTTTCTAAACGTTCCTCTATTTACATTTATTGAACAAATGGTTATATTTTAGTTCCCTATAAAACCTTTTTATATATACTTATTTTAAAGTTCCAATAATTTGGTAAAAGACCCAGTTTCTATGCGGCCAAGACTCCATATATAAAAATAGGAGTATGTTAATAAATCTATTTTTGAGATGGATTTTAGGGTGCAGATTTTAAAGTTTCAAGGATTTGGTTAAAGACCCAATTTTTATGCGGCGAAGCCCACATATATAGAAATGTGGGGCCTTTTAATAAATATATTTTTGAGATAGATTTTCAGACTTAATTTTTAAGGACACGTAATCTCTGACATGGAGATCGTGAACATAAAGATTAAGTTTTAGAAACTCGAAATAATAATTCTAATAAGAAAATATTTAGACCGTAATGTTTAGATGATGGAACACCTATTTTCATCCATCTTTACATCTTTAAGATGGATGCGCACTAGTAGAAATGCGGTCTAACGAATATGAAACAATTTTCCTACGTGGTTCGCAATAGGGATTGAGGAGGGAAAAGTCATAACCTTTTTATGAAAAATGAATATTGTAAAACTTTGGTATATTTTTACGAAGAAGCTTTCGTTAACAATTTTTTTTTCTTTTTTTTTATTTATGTATTTATGGGTCGTTTAACGGGAACATACTGACCCATACTCGTTTTTGAAATAGTAAACGGTTTACGAAAGTGTTAGACCAGAATGAAAGCCTAGACTTAGTTGGTTCTTTTGGCTTAGCTTTCCTTGATAAAGATACCCTATATCTAGTTACTATCAAGGGAAATTTCGGGAATTTCTCGTGGAAAAGAGATCAGAAAATCATATCTACAATATTATAGCACATTTTGCGAATTATTTATGTTATACTCCTATCTCTAACTCTAAGCTAGTTGCATGGGGCGATTCTATTTTCTGGTCCTACAAAGCGCAGAGAGAGAGAGAGAGCCAAAAGAGTCCATGGAAAATTTAATGGAAATGTAGCATATTCACAATTGATAGCTCTTTTTTCAGCGAATCAGAAGGTGGTCATCTCATTGGATCAGCAATTTCTTTTTCCTTAACATTCAGATGTCTCATTGGAACTAAATAAAAACGAAAGATAAAAGTACCTTTCAAACCAGCAGATTTGTAAGATGGGTTGCAGAGTGAGAGAGAGTACCAACAAACCAGCAGATTTGAAGGATTGGTTGCATATAAAGAGAGAGAGAGAGAGAGAGAGAGAGAGAGTTCAAAAATTCTCTCATACATTCTGTCAAAGAGAGGTCTAGAGAGAGAGAGTCAAGTGGATAGCTTGAGAGACAAGTCGAGGAAGGAGGAAGAGGGTTCAGGGTAAGGCGGTTCATATGAGCTGCTGCCATCTCCTCCTCTTAATGGAGCATCACCACCCAAAAAGTCATACTCCATTAACTCTCTTCCCCTGCTCCTTTGCAACGTAACAGTCTCCCCTCCCTATAATAACCACAAATTTCAATATCACAAATTTCAATCTCTCTCTCTCTCTCTCTCTCTTCTCTCTCTCTACAATTTGGCAGCTTTTTCAGTCGCATTCTTTTTGCATGTATTTCCTTATTTATGTATAAAGCAGTCCTCTTGTATTCGACTTGTCGACCAGCCGCAAGCTTTGTGAAAATGAAACCACAGAGATACGGTATCATGCACAAATACGGTCGGTACTCCACCAAACAATCGGCTGCTTAGCGGTTGAGTATATAAAATTATAAATACAGATATAGGGTACTACAGCAATAAAAACTTGTTTGCACTACCATATGATGGAAAAGTCTATATTGGGTTGCAACATTGTCCTATTGAAAGTAAGGTACATCTCTAAAAGCAACTATAAAAGAGTGTTTGAAAAACCTTCCAATTGATCATCTCGTCTTCCAAATGTAGAGATGTAACAAAAAAAAAAAAAAAATTTTGAAGTCCTAAATCTAATACATTTTATAAAAGAATAAGTTTATATAAGGTTCTAAATGTAGAGATGTAAAAAAAAAAAAAGATTTTCAAGTCCTAAATCTAACATATTTTATAAAGAAAAAAGTTTATATAAGGTTGCAAAAGTTTATATAAGGTTACAACCTTAAAGTGTAGAACTACAGATGCACCTTAAAAATCCATCGAAAAGGCCTGTATTAATGTTGAAAAACCTTGTGCTTGATCATCGAGATGTATGACTATGAAAAATAAAAATATTTTGAATCTCAAAAATAGTGCATCTTACTATTTCAAGATTTTCATATGTTTCTAGATCTACACCATCCATTTTCAAGATTTTCATATGTTCTAGATCTACTTGATTTTAACCATTTTAAAAATTTAAAATTTTATAATTAGATATAAAACTAAAATTTGAGATAATCCTAATAATATTTTATATCACATTTATATATTATGATAAAATTTGAAGGTGCACTTTAGTTGGATTGTTTAAGGTTCCAACCTTATGGAAACCTAGCACCTCCATTATATAGTATAAAGTGGGCATCTAATACAAACCGCACCCAAATGGTAAACTGGTGATTAAGGACTCGGTACACTGCATTTTCGATTTGTAAAAGGACTACCATCTAATCTAAGGGCTGGCTAGGGTTCATTTGAGCCCTCCCTCACAACTTTCATTTTTTTAAAGTCATTTACATACAAAAGCAGTGCATTTATATTCTTTCTTTTTTTAAATTTAGTTTGGTGGTGCTGAATCTCCTGATACCGATCCCGGAGTGTAAAGTCATGAATTTATTTATAGCATGGGACAAGGAAATGTTTACAAAGACAGTGCGTTCCCCAATCTGTATTCACATAAACAGAAACCTGAATTTAATATGTTGGGGATTCTGATTTTCGAAGTACAGTGAACTGGGTGAAATATTTTTATTTATTCATTGAGACAGTAGTGATACTAAGTATGTGTCAGTTTTGGTCAGAGAAAGTAAGAAGCAATAAGAAGGTGCAAACAAGTTTTAAAGAAAAACATTTAAAAGGAAAGGAGGACACTGTCCTTCAAATATGAAGACTAATAATGCCAATGCAGCGAACAATCTGAGCCGTCCAAAAGAGTCATCATGCGGCTCGTGTGAGCATATCGGCGCATTTGGTGTTTGAAAATCTACAGTATTTGAAGAATAAATCGAAAAAACACGACGTAATGTGTTTGGGAAACAAATAATGCGTTGTGCTTCGGGTTTGATGTGTTCCTTTCAGGCGTTTGGAGAGAGAACGAGGAAGAGAGAGAGAGTCACAAAAAAGTAATGGGACAAGGTAGTTACCTCATGAATGGCCATTCCAGTGTGGACATGCATTATATCTCTTGCGGCCTCACCCTCAACGTTTTTGGCGTTCCAGAGAGCCAGCCCAAGAAAATCGCATCCTTCTTTTGACGCCGCACCCATATTTATCCCATAAAACTCCCGCTTCCTCTGCAATCGTGGCAATTCATTCACTCACTATATATATGCCCATGAAAATGTACCTAAAATCTCTCTCTGAAACATATTATTTCTCTCTCTCTCTCTCTCTCTCTAAACGTTTGCAAAGGTGAATGTATGAACGCTGAGAACATGTTTCAAAGAAAAAAAAGATACATAAATAAACGCATGGAAATGAGAATCCATGGCCAGGAAACCATACATACACGATTTTTATTCAAAGTAAACATACAGACAAAGAAAGAACACCAAGAAAATCATTTCAAGAGAAGCACAAAGACAAAAGATTTAGCTTCAAAGTCCCCCCAGTCTACTTTTAAGCAGTGTCCATATACTCAAGTGTTTGCACAAAAAGAAGAAAACACACATGCAAAGAAAGAAGAATGATAAACCTAGAGAGAGAGAGAGAGAGAGAGAGAGAGAGAGAGAGAGAGTACGTACAGACGACGTAGTTACTACACCTACGTAGTACTACGAACGACCGACGACCAACCAACGGTAACGGTTTACGGTTTTAGGTTTAAGGAAGGAACGG